CAATATTCTTCGTAACGGAAGATGCTAGCAACAATGCATCCAACTGGTTACTGACTAAGGATGAAGCACACAAATACCATCGATATTTTAGTATGACGAAAATCATTGGAAAGATTCTATACCTCATTCATGTCTCTTAAATTGTGCCGAGTGAACTTATCTAGTTAAGATAATTATTCCCCAGCGTAATTCCGACGTTTTGTACGTTAGTGTGTCAGTCTACACGTTAAGAGCATTCTTATATTTTTACAAGGAATATTCACCGTAAGAAACAAGATGGATAAACATAAGGGTCCCCACACCAGAGAAACATCATGTGGAAAACGTACCGTACCCCAAGCTTTTTAAAACAATAAAAAAAAGTGCTCACAACCCACTGAAATCGTATAGCCAATGTCACCTTCAACACCTACACGTAGTACAAACCTTCCCATCATCTATTAAAACCAAGTAGAAAACGTACCCACAAACAGCTGAAACTATGCACGAAACGTACCCCGAACCCATGCAGGAAAAGTACCGTACCCCCAACACAGAAAGTCAACCTTGAGCGCAATAGCAACTCCGTGGTGGTGCAAGGGAGGGGAGGAGCACCAACAGACGGAGCCAGTCAGTCAGTGTTAAAGGGGCAGGGAGAAGGCAGACAAGCGTCTCGCCGTTACATAAGCCGGCTAGGCAGAGAACGCTTCCAACCCGCTATTTTATCTACTGTTCCGCTGCTTATTATTAATCTACCATTACCACGTTTCTACTCACCGTATGGTCTCCACGATCTCGTATGCGCCATCATGTTTGTCCTATAGAAGAAAGAGTGAGGGGGCGTTAGCAAGACTCTACATTAAATTTTAGCATTGCAACACTGGATATATTTCAGCATAGCTACACTGACATGCTTTAGCATGGCCACACTTAGACATTATATCACGTACAATAATTTATAAATATGCACAAACACCCATTACTGTGTTGGGTGGCTGGAAGTACTGTACTCTGTATACCATAAAACACAAAATGGTGGACAGCAGTAAAGATTTGAGAAAAGGGCGACAGGAAAGTGACAAACAAAAATACTCCACTTGTATTCATTTAGCACACCCTGTATACCAACTGAATCCTGGGTCATAAACTACACATACAGTAAACACTTTATGTAAACAAACAAAATACACTATGTAACTGGACATTTCAGTGTTTAATTACAAGATACACCCAGAGAGTAAACAATTAAAGCGATTCAGCTCTTTTTATAGTTCAAACTTTTCGTCACTATAAACATACACTGTACCGGGTAGTCAAAAGACACCATTAATATGCACATGCGTTGTAATCACTTTAAACACTATGCACAATCATACACACACCTGTAGTTTACTATATATACACACATGCAGTCACCATAAGCAGAGGTAATAACCATGCACACGTCGTCACTATACTAACATCCAAGCTACTCATTAAGAACAAAGACCACTGCGGTGGTCTATTGGCACTAGTCATGGCATATGCGGTCGCCAAACACACACACGAACCCGTCAACAAATTAACAATACACTTGCTATCAACAAAGGCACTTGCAATCAACCCCCATGCACGTCACCATAAACAAGCCCGATCTCGGTACAATCACCGCATCCCTTGTTATCTTTGATATATACAGCGATGACCAGTTTTGTACACATTTGTAATATACCATTCATACCTATCAATATTCTCGTCAACTGTCACCGAAACCATGTCACACACACACATCTATAATCACCAATCATATTAAACACAGTGAACTGAATCTACTTAGCTCTCATCACAATGTCTAAAGGTACGGTAATTACCATCGCACCGCTATCACCACATCCGTTCACACTACGGTTCAGTGGGTCACACTAGCTTTATATGCCTATCTGAATGAGGTTAATCTTTCAGTATGTCCGCTCATAAATGTCATCCAACTTGACCTAATTATTTTGCTATATATGTTTCATGGTGAGTGGCATACATACCCATTTGCCAACTGCTAAAATACTGTTACTATCAACAACTAGTTCTCATTCAAGCAAAACAGTGTGACAAAATACCAGGAAGCGAACAAATAAATGGTGAAGTACTGTGGTTCACTATTATTAACACCCCGGAGCTATGCTAGTTACTTTCATTCATGGTCAAGGTTTTCTTACAACACTCAAGAAATATTTTCCGTGTGACCAGATTCTGCGTTCATCGATCTGCCTGATAAACAGATTTGATTCTGCTTAATCGGTTCTCAGCTCAACGAAGTGCACCTTATTTCTAACTACGTGAAGGCAAGGAGTTCTGACTGGTACACAGCAGTGAGGCGGCGCACTCCAGTCAAGAACTAAACCACTGATAACCAATGATAACGGTACAGCGTTGCCGCGTCCTACTTTTTTGTCCACTCGAAGCTCGGCTCTACAGTATATCAACAGATAACTTATGCTATTGCCTGCCCGTATCTATTATCTGTAATGTTCGTTCACGTCTTGTAACATTTATTACAATGTACAATTTGTCACCAACAACATTTCAAAAGTACAGAACTGTTGCCCAAGTACAATATTTAACAGTCATCAAAATACATACACACCCCGCTTTTGGCTACAGTTCTTTAATTTTAGTACCGCCCATAATACGTACCCAAAAACATCAAACAAGCTAGACGCGGGCGAAACAATCACAGTTTGTATATGCAGCTGTTACCACCCCATCTGCTACCTTGGTTTAATTATAATGGGGACTAAGTGCTTACAGGGGAAAATTAGCCTTCTCATTGGACGAAGATGAAAATCGAACTAGCTGCATTCTGATTGGCCAGTTATATGAAAAATACCCAATTTCAGTTTATAATAAGGAAATCAGATGACCAAGTCCATTACACAGTTTATCATTCTACCCAAAGACTCCACGACACATGTTAACACAAGCTACTTAGGCCCTATTACACCAAACGTTGTCATTTTACTTGGGCTCCAATGCACCACAGGTTATCATTCTACCTCGGCTCCAGGATATAAAATAGGTTCTCTATTACGCAAGTTCCTTCAGTCTATCTGGGTTCCACATGTAGTCTACCTGTGCTCCACATGTCAGTCTACCTACACTTCACATGTCTTTTCTACTTGGGTTCCAGCATTCTATTTAGTGCTCATTCTACCTGAGCTTCATCACCTCACAGGATATATAAGGCTTAGTCATTCTACCAGGGTCTATTTGACTGTTGCAACAAACTAGGTTGTTATTCACCTTGGGTTCTACCACAACCATTCACTAACTCTACCGAGATTCCACTGTGCAGGTTCAATCATTCTACACCTGGGCTATACTTGACAGTACATTACATTCATTCACTCTGGGTTCTATCACAAAAATGCTCAAATCACAGTGAGGTAACAACCATACAACAGGTTCACTCCACCACAGATTCAATCATTCATATCAGACGCTGCACGGCACTTGTACACAAGTTTGTCATTCTCCAATACAGTTCTACCACACATCAAAGCTTTTCCTTCACTCTTGTCTGCCCACGATATCTTTCGTACTCGTACCACAAGTGCGAGTGGCTGGTTGGCGAGGAGCCACGGGGCACCACACACAGCAAGTTATAGTGTGGGGAGTTTTAGCAGCGCTGTCTGGGAGCTGAGGTTAGGGGGATGTTTGCTCCAATAATGGCCTCTGCAGCTCCCACCATCACCACCACACTTGTTTACACTGTCACTTAAATGTTTCTTTCCTCTTGCCACGGGTGTTGAGTGCGTGCTGATAGGACAGGTATGCAGGGAGGGAGGAGAGGGAGAAGCAAGGATGAGGATAGTACAAAAACGGCCGGTAAGAGGGAGACTCACAGCGCCTGAACCCGATGTTAGCGGCCAGTGAAAAGTGATGGCTTCCACGCCTGCCGGACTGTGAAGTTTGAGCTCTAGGGACTTTTCAGACTCCGGCATTATTGCCAACCACTGTTATCTCGACAACACTACCACTAATTTCCACTCCACTTAGGAAAAGCCAGCCCCATACTGGAGCGGTTCACACGCGCGTACCCTCACTATCCATGCCTGAGTCAAACTGCCGCCACAAGGCTCAACGCTCAAGCTCTCGACACCAGTCCAACGTGACCGCTGCTGTACTCGGTGTGTTGCAGCTTGCGATGGCCGCCGCCAGGGGCCACCACCATACACTTTCATTCTCAACGTTCACATCAACGTTTACACTTCACTCTTAACCTTCACATATTAATAATATATATATATATATATATATATATATATATATATATATATATATATATATATATATATATATATATATATATATATATATATATATATATATATATATATATATATATATATATATATATATATATATATATATATATATATATATATATATATATATATATATATATATATATATATATATCACACATTAATGGACCATATACCAAACTAAAATGTTCGACACCTTTCAAGAGAGAACTAATTACCGAAAATAAGTTCAGGTTATAATGGGTGCTCCAGTCACTACCTACACCTGGCTGCACGTGCATTCTGAAATTTTCAAATGAAACCATTTCAAAATATCAACAATTTTGACAATGATAATCATATGGAGTTATGAAGGAAATTCTAGTTCAAAATGAATACTATATATTGTTATGAATTTTGAGAAGATATTTACTTAACTCAGTTATATCAATGACAAACTTTGATTTATTTGTTTATGGAATTGTATGGGACTATATTATCAAGGTTCCTGTGCCGATGTTATTAGATACACTCACTCTATTACCTTTATATGGTTTAAAACGGCATTAAAAGTAAAAAAAAATACTGCAGGTTAAGCTATAAATGAAAGATCAAAAGGTATTGGGGGTTGATCAGCTTTTGGTATAATTACACAAACTGTGCAGGAATGAGATAAAATAATTGACTAAGATATGTAATTATATCCAAGAAGACTTCCTATTAACAAGATAGAGAGGAAGAAAGGAAAGAAGTGTCAGCTGAGAAATAATTATTATTACAATATTTTAGAGTATACTAATTAATATGAAAGATACATAAACATGTAAATTATAGATAGATAGCTTGTTATAAGGTGACAGATGAGGACAAAGAGCGAGGAAGAGGACAGTAGAGTCATCTAGGGAACACAATCTTCACTAGTCAGTCCTCCTCCTCCACCTACTGCCAACTAGTAAATATTAAACCATTAATGATTATGCCATCTTGGTAGTTACCGTGGCAGCTGAAGTTTTAAGTTATTATGGTAAGTTTATTAATTGTTTTTATGAGGTAATTGAGTCAAATAACCTGTAAGGAATGCGAGTAGAGGGTGTAGGGTAGTGTTGTAAGGTCCTAGTCGCTTGAGTGTTCTGGGGAGTGTGGCAGGGTGTACTACAGTGCATAAAACTGAACTAACCTTTGCTATTATACCACATATATCAAGTGTTCCTATGTATATTATGTATGATTGGGATATATTAACTTGGTGACTGTACAGGTGGTCGTGCTTAGTGACCTGTAAAGGACGCTACTGCAAGTACTAAACCCAAGCTTGACTAGTGCATTATTAAGATTAGTACTGGCAGGGTTTTATTATGCATATTTCAAGTATATTAACTTAATTTGGTGACTAAAGATGGTCAAGCTTGGTGATGCTTTGGTCAGCTTAAAAGAAATTAACTTGGGCGACTACTCAAGGCATTAAACTCGAGGTTTCAAGTTCTACCTTCATTATCAAGCTGTTCATAATCAAGTGTAGATAGATATTTATTCAGTATATTTTAAACTGGCATGTGTGTAGTTGACAATACTTGGTGAAATTCTACTTAGTTTTGGATTGGTGTTCTGTAGCACCTCAGAAGAAATATGCTTTTAGTATCTTAAAAGACTAACTGTTAGAAAGTCAAAAATAAATTTTTCTAGTGTATTTTTTCACTTATTCAGACTTTGATTCTCCACATTAAAGAAAAAAAATCATAAATACTGTACTTTCTCCTATTAAACTAAATCAAGATATAAAGTGATAACTCTCAGTAAAATTATAGTTTCGGTCATCCCTGTATTTAGATATCTAACCTAACCAACCAAACCTAATGTAACCTAACCTAACCTAATGTAACCTAGCCTAGCCTAATGTAACCTAACCTAACCTAATGTAACGTAACCTAACCATTCTAACCTAACCTATATCTAACCTAACTGAGGGGTTGCCCCCCCCCCGACCTGCCCTAAGTTTCCCCAGATGACCAAAACTTGATCTTTGCTGGGGGGAAAATGTAGCTTTATCAGACAAACAAAATTAATTAACTTACAAATAGAATATTTAATGCCAGAAAATGCTGAAACACTGTCCTTGCCATGACAGCCCAGCAAAAGTTCCTGACCATCTCCGCCAAACATAATTTGACCCACACACAACCTACAGTAGTGTCCCTACAGTCAACTTCCACCAATCGTCCCTGAATTAATAAATGTAGAAGACATGGTACATTATTAACGATGGTAAATAATACATAGATACAACTACCAACAGTCTTTGGTATTATTGTATTTCTGCACCCAACATTCCTACCCCTTATCTATTATCGTATTCGAATAAGACGTCTAATTAAAAGATAATTTTCTTCTATTACATTACCGTCACAAATGTATAATAGCGTATACAAAATTTTCTCTATTTTCTTCCATTAATCTTCCGCCATTATCGCCTACCTCACCTCCCACACTGCGCGTCTCCTTCATAAATAATATTAATAATAAACAATAATAATAATAAATGGTTTATTAATAGAGTGGCAGCTAATTTGTCTAATCTTATTTTTGCAATGTATTTATCCTGTACACTACTGTACTTTGATGCAGTTTACTCACTGTTGCAATAATCACAGTTTACTTGCTGAGTGGTTCATTTCAGCCACTGCAACACTTTCCAAAGCTTACCAGGCATTTCTATCTATCCTAGGTTAAGTTAGTTAATTTTATCTCTGATAAATCATGTAATGAAGCAGCACCAGGTAAGTTGTTCCTCTGTGGATGAAATTTACAAATCCTTGTCGTTTTTTTTTAAATTGCCAAAATATTATTACTAAATTTAGTATAAAATTTACTATCATGGATACAAAAATTTACTAAACGTGACGATTGTTTTTTGTATGGAGCTGTATGAAAGAGTGCTTGGCACGTAAACGTTGAAGACGGCATTGCCAGGAAGTAGCGCAGCAACGTATAGTATACAGTTTCTTTAATAGCTTGTTCTTTTATTATTCAAGTTTTTTAATACAATACAGTACTGTTATTATTATATATTGGTTTGCTTTTCAGTAATACTCAGCAAGAATTGACAGTTGAGTAAGACAACCATAATGACATCGGTGAGTAGATGTATCTCTCGCAAGTATTTGTGTTGAATCTGTGTGTTCCATTTTCTACAGTAATCTGTGACAGAGGTTCTCAACATTGAGAATGACTGGAAAACAGTGTCTCAGTGTAGATGTCAGTTAAATTAACACCCATCAATACTGTACTGAGAGGTCTGGTGCAAATAAATCCAAGGTGCCTATACTGGGTGATTACTCTTCTGGTTATAAAATAAGGTGTACAGATGGGGGTTTCATATTTGACACACCCGCGATACATGGGCTATATTGGACTACCGTCTCATTAAATGGAGGTTTTGCTGTACTCTGCTAGATGTTCATGCCCTTTCAGTACAGTAATTTTGTAATAATGATACAGTTTATAAAATTCAATTAATTCTTGATAGTTGATACAGTTTTATTATTATTTTTTAGTTTATGCCTAATATGAGTTGTGGACCGTGCCTCTACTGTAACGCCACATCACAGGACGCCCCGGAGGAGCTTCTCCGTTGTGACTTGTGTCGACGGAGTGCACACGTATTATGCCTCAGATCGGGCACGCCAGACGGAGTTCTCTTGGGGGATAATTTCTTTAACTTCACCTGCTCCATGTGTCATCAAAGTGGCCAGGACACCACTGTTAGAGCCAGATTAAATATGTGAGTATTTTCTTTGGCATCTTACTTGTCTGGGGTATCTTTTGTCTTCTCTCTGATTGTGGGAAAGTTAGCCCAGTATATTTTGTCCTGTTAATTCTTTGTAACTAATACAGTATGAGCAATACTGTACCGTACTTCCCAAATATCAATTAAATTTTATGTATACTGCACAGCTTCACATCATGATGATAAAATTTTGCAACTATATTAATCTGATGCTACTGTAGCATACAGTCTTCAAGATATATAGGTTAGGTTAGGTTAGACCAAAGATATCTTTGTAGACTGCACACTATAGTAGCACCATTAATCCTTAAGGTTCCAGTTTAACTTTGTAGACATTTTGGTGGTGGTCATTACATCAGCTGCAGTGGTAGTGTACTGTAATGTGTTTCATGTTCAGCCCTCAGATACTGCTGCTGGTGCTGTACAACTTACACAAGACTGAGACCAACACTGCTCGTAGTGGCTTCTTTCACTGGAAGATCCATATTTATAACTTTATCAGCCATCACTGGAAGGAAATATTTGGACCAGAAAGGTAACTGTCACTGCAGATTATTTATTTATTTAATCTTATTAAGTGTTCATAAAGATATCTCCATCTAACAATACTGTACACCTACACTGACCAGATCCGCAGTTAGCTTTACACCAGTTAAATACTTGATACAAGAGAGGATTGTGTAATGTTGACATTGTTTCATTGATTTCTTTACTTTTTATTTACAGTCGTAAAAAGAAGAAAAAAGTGTTGCAAGCTTCGCTGAGCGGGCAACTTAATAATTATGGAAAGTACTTCATAAGTGGCTATGAGACCTTGCGAGACGGAGGCTGGTACAGACTAGCATTTGTTCTTCCACCGGCCCAACTCATTCAGCGGCAAGTGGCGGAGAAACGTGTAGTGGCTTCTGTAGGTAATGCCGACCCAGTTAGATCCAGAAGGAGAAAAATATCAAAGGATGATTTGTCTAAGGTCAGTACAGTATAGTACAGTTTAATTATTGGTGTGAGTGTGGAAGGTTCTAACCTGCCCACCTGTATAGACCAAAATGTTCTCAGGAGCATTTCCAGTGTGAGGACTATGACTTGTTAAGTTCTGTACGAGATTATATTGTGTGTGTGCAAAATATAACCATAGACAAAAGTATGACCGTGAATGATATTGTATGCAATAGCTACTTCATAAACATAAAAAGAATTACTGAATATGCATTAGTGTTTATAAATGACTAGACTTCTTTACTGGCCATACAGGAGACTCCTCACATTAAGGAAGAGCCTATAGAAGAATCAGTGAGTTCTGGTGATGTTTCATTTGACAGCCCTGACGACTCCTCTCGGGGCTCGTGGTTCACAGAGAAAGACGTGCTCAAACCCCACGCCTGTCCGCCTCAGGCACTCTTTGATAGTGAAGAGGAGGATGAAAAGGTTTGTATTTTGTATTAATTTTCAGTTGTTATTTCTACCTCATACTTACTAACTATTGGGGTAGTTGATCTATACTTTGTGACTTTTGTTATGACCTTTATTGTCCAGTGTTAGTTATTGCTTATTCTTGCCATCCTTTCCATTTTTTGGCCACTTTTAGTCAATTGATATTTTTAACACTTGATTAGTAATGAGTCTGTGATACCACTGTACAATGTGATGGGGCCTTAGAATATGCTTTACAATATTTTCAAGGCCAAGAAATAGTGAAATATTTATTAATTATCTTTTATTACTTTTTCTCTTTGGAGTATTATAACTTATTATTACTGTATTATTATTATTATTTGTTGTATATACAGTACAGTACTTGAGTACAGTTGGAGTAAGTTTCCTTGTGACCCTGGTTGTTGTGTTGTTCAGTGTTGACATGAGACTCTTTGGTCACCATTAGCACGTGACAATGAAGGAAGAGGTGATGGTGAAGAAGGAAGAAGCTGATATTGAGTTTGTAGGGGTAAAAGAGGACAAACGAGATGGTGTAGGGAAAGAAGACGAAGGTGACGCAGAGTTTCTTGATGTAGACGGAAGTGAAAGCGAAGTGCCACAAAATAATAGAGTGGAGACACAGCCATCCATAGAGCCACGATCTTGTGCCCAGGCTTCTCTCTTCACCAGGACCATCTCTACCGCTGCCTCTATGTTGATGGAACACTCAGCACTCTCCAGAGAACTTACCACAGAAAAGTAAGTACTGTACAGTATTGGGTAATTTTTTTTAGATTATTTATAATTTCACTGATCATCAGTTTCTAGTTTTTTGTCAGTTGGTGTGTTCTTTGTTATGATGTATATTGTACAGTGTTAGTATAGGAGGAAACTGGCGTACATTACCTGGTGAAAACCTGCCATGTTTGATGGTGTCACAAAGGATAATACTGTACATCTCTCTTAGTTGTATAGTTCCTAACACCTAAAGGATTATTGGGTGTGGTTGTTTCAGTAATTAATGTTTTAGGACAAAAGTTCCAGTATCCATTGTTATGACTATCAAGCATCTCTTAACACATTTTTTTATCAGTCTTTCCATTTCCCCTTTCTCCTGAGACTCCAGATTATTTCTAAGTTGTCTCCACGTCTCTCTCACCCATTCTTTGTAGATCTTGACCGTGCTGTACTCATTAGATTTGTCATTGACAGCGTGCGAGCGTTAAGTGGCTATGAGGAACAACAGCTGCTGCACCAGCTAGAAGAACTACAAGAGTCCGGGCCTCTACCACCTGACCTGCATCGTTTACGTCGGAAACTTGCCGTCAGGTAATATCCCAATAATATTTTAATTTGTTCCACTCCCCTCGTGACACTATTTAACGTTACCTCAAACAGTTCAAAACATAACCTAACTTAACCTCCAACCTTCAGTCTTTGGCCAAGGGGTGACACCTTGATCAACAGATTTGATAGTTACACTTGTTAGTGCTCTTCCTCCAAGTACTCTTAAACAACTTTTTAATGTTGTCAGTGTGTATCATAACACACGTGTCTGTCCACAACATTACCTTCAGTAAAGCAAAGCTTCGTCTTGGTCAATTCTGTTGGGAGTTCCAAAGCTTTCATTCTTTATTTCCAGTACACACTCCTTTATTTCTTCTCTCTGAATTTTTACCTTCTCTTTCCTTAGTAATATACTGATGCCGGTAGCCAGAGATCCTTTTATAGTAAGTTAGACGTGCTCCTGAGTGTACAAAATATTTCAGTGTTTTTTATTATAAACATAATTATTATTACATCATGGTATGGTGGTGTTGTTCTGTCTCTGAGTATCATTTTCATTTTGTTCTTGTTTTTCAGATAGTATTTTTTTTTTATGAATAAAAGACACTTCAAAGTATGGGCTGATTATAATTTTGAATGATGTGTCAAACAATTTAAAGTTACTGTATATGTCTAACTGTACGGTATACTGTATACAATGCCAGCATTCAGGCAGCTCGTGCCTATTTTATGGAACTGAAGTTTGTATGTACTGTAGTGTACATGCAAAACCATTACAGGCCTTTGGAAAGAGATTTACCTGCAGATGCGTACTGTAATTATGTGGACTTGAAGTTGTCTTGTCTGAAGGATTTTATGATGAAATAAATTCTTCTTACAAGGTGAGAAAATTTTCCAGGAGGTCTGCCTGTTACTGTAGTCAAGTGTTTTTGGTTTTACTGGTTTGTGTCGATGAAACATGGAAGAAACAGTTCTGAAGAAGGTGTTATGGTAAGATTTTGGTGATTGAGAGAGAAAGGCGAGGCATTATTTACACCGTGTAGAGCCGAGGCACTTGTGATTTATGGGAGAAAAAAGATTATGTTTTGGGGGATGAGTTGAGACCTTGTTGACTGATGGAGAGTTAATGGTACAGTACAGTACTGGCTCGGGACACCTCAGTCACCTAGAGGAGAGTTTTGGTTGGTGTTGGTAATGATGATGTGGTTCTGTAATGGAAAACACAAGATATTTTAAGGGTAAAACACCGAAGTTTATTTATTTAATTATATATATATATATATATATATATATATATATATATATATATATATATATATATATATATATATAGGAGCACATTTATGAATGAAAATAATTTGTTTTCACAAATACATTGATTATCTTATGATATAACATGATAATAAATATACAAAGCACTTGAATTTAACTTACACAAACAATGTTAAGTGCTGCATTAGGTGAGGTGGTGAGGTAAGGTAAGGTGGTGTTATCGGAGTTACTGGGAGGGAGACGGAGGGGCACTACTGACTCCTGCCTCGCCCTGTACAGTACAGTATTGTACCAACCACCAAGAAATCCACACGAAATAAATTGTATAATTTCTGTATATTTTTTCCTAATAGTATTGAAACAAAAATTTTAACTTAAAAATTTACCCAATTTCCGTAAAGGCTAGTTTTTGTCCGTATCCCGAATTTATTGGTAATACTGTAATTTACAAAATCCGTAAGAGCGAATTTCCGCAACCAGAGTTTCCATAACCCGGGGGATGCCCGTATATATATATATATATATATATATATATATATATATATATATATATATATATATATATATATATATATATATATATATATATATATATATATATATATATATATATATATATATATATATATATATATATATATATATATATATTGTTGACAATATTTATCAATTGTACCTCTTATAAGCCTATTAGTCTCTTGTGCCGTCAGCCTGTGTTTTGTTATGACCTTTATTATCCGGTGACAGTTTGTATAAGAGGAAGACTTTGTTTATGTAAAGAGGGTACAGTAGGTGAAGTTGATGGTTTAGGCCTTTGAATAATAAAGCTGTCGAAAGAACCTTGTACAGCTGCTTTCTTTTCTCGTTATACTTCTTTATGTAGAGGTCATTTATGTTTTTCATGTCCCTGTTAATTTTAATGCTTCGTTCTGTTAATGGATCCACTTCAGAAAATATGTTCATTACTTGCTCCATATAATATCCACAGACCTCTCGCCCTTTTCATATCGTTTTAACACAAATAGTTTCTTAGCTAAGCTTATACACTTTCTTTTAGCTTTTGAACCAGCACTACCATCACTTGCTCTCTTGCTCATGTTTAATAGGGATGCAAAAATTCCGTAAGAAATCAGAATGTTTTCTCCTTTTCCTGTTCACATGCGTGAAAACAAAAGGCCCACCAAGCTGCAACTGTTTATACTAGTGATGCTGGCATCACCATTCACAAGCCCAGCAGCCTCCATGTGCAAGGCGTGTCTTTTTCTTCTCGTAAATGCAAAAAAAAATAATAGTGTAAATTGAACTGGGTCCTAAATTAACCAGGGTCTTGAATATGAATCGTCGTTAGTAAAACCGTCGTTATCGGAGGCTTTCCTGTATAGTAAAGATAGTCTATATTTTTTTTACATGTACAGTATATAAAAGTGATTTAAAACTTCAGGCACAGCATAATTTACTTTTTAAATATAGTACTGTATTCTATATATCTTTAATTACATTAATACTAAAATATACTGTACATTAAATGGAAGTGTTTCGGAACATCATGACTGAGACAGACCTCAAAACTAACAGTTCACCATTCCATCGTTGTAGTAGCAGATTTTCATTCATACCAAGTTTCACAATATACCTACCCATGTTGTTCATGATATGTCTGATTTATGAAGATTGACTAACAAATGGTACTTGATATTAGAGTGAACAGCTACAGCAATATATTGGTCTACATGGGATCTGATATGTAAACTGCTTTGATTTAACACCGAAATAAGGTTTCACATCAAGGGTCTTGTAGGAACAGAACACCTGTCTACCTATAGTAAGACATTTGTGGTTGGCACTTAACTCTTTGTGCAACTGTGGGTTTTCTCACCCCAGTTTGTCATGGTACAGTATCCCATCATTATGTGTCCCCTCGTTGTTAAGGTCAATGATAGCTCCTCTCACATCTTGCAATGTCTCCCCAATAATTCCTTGCTCCATTCGATGTAAGATCCCTTTGGTGACTGGCATGGCGTTGGTATCTATTTATGACATCTATTCTGAATTATGTAATATAGTAGATGATCTGAAACTTCCGAGAATTCGCATCATTTGATAACGTACATACAGTACTGTACTCATTCATGTTCGTAGGTCGCGGATGTAGAATTGCCAACCATTCAGAAACAGGTCGAGTAACAGTGCTCAGAAAACCTCAAATTACATCGAGCCTAATGGCTAACGATAATTTTTTTGGAGACAGTCCAGTCAACAAAATTTTTTTCTGCACCTTTATGGTGTTATAAAATATGACACACCGGACCAAGAATTCTGAACAACACTAATTTACGCGGGTTGTTCCTGTTAATTTCTCTGTATTAACTATATGTGATATAAAAAATACATCATAGTGGTTATACAATGCATCACACAACCAGAAATACCAACCTTAACAAATTAACATGGCCTCAGTCAGTGATCGTTGCAGAAGCCATCAGACCAAGGGGTGCAAAATATTTTTTTGCTGAATGTACATCATGTTATAGACTTGATACAAATAGTTATAGTGATTCTCCATCGTGAGGATGTGAGTGTCATAGCTTCAATTTCGTTATGTCCTGTAATGTTCCTTCATATGATACTCGGCCTTCAAGAGTAACCTATTAATTTACCCCGGCATTACTGGTACAGTAATACTATACTATAGTTTCATCACCTCAGCCGTCACATCAACAACAGCAACATTATACAGCCAATTTCCTGAGTAAATTACTGTATATTCTTCCTCCTCTACCTTTTCCAGGGTTTACATAAGCCAGCTACAGTACTTCTTTTATAAACTTCTCTCGTGTCTGGTAAGGAATTTTTCTGCACAGGTCTGAGAAGCCCAACCAGTCTGAGTTGTATGTTTCACAAAGCGAATACAAGCACGGCAAAGGTGCCATAAGAGCATCTCCCATAACAGAGTATGAGAAGGAGTACTTGATAAAAATTGTCAAGGAATTCCAGGGGATAATTGATGATAAATCGACGAGTTTTGTTGCCGTGTCTAAAAAGGCGGCAGTTTGGCAGGACATTGCTGCCCGCTTCAATGCTGCCACAGGATACAGCAAGTCTTCTCAGCAAGTACGAAAAATTTGGGAAAATATCCGTAATAGGTATGTATAATTCCTTAAAATGAGATTACAGTATCAGTGGGTGATTGTTGGGTTGATTAAAAAAGTTTGTAATTTTCGACAAGTACAATAGTATAAGATAATTAGGTGACACAGTTGGTCAGATTAATGTTAACGATCTCATGTTAATATTGTCAATGCTTTTTTATACCATATTTAGATGTTTTGGGTTTATATGTATTAAATATATATATGAGAGTACTGTATTGTCAGTGATTATGAATTAATTCTCATATGAATGTGGCTATTGACAACATATTTTGTTAGTAATCTTGTGGTTCTTCTGACAAAGAAAGAACTTAAGCGTAGGGCAGATTTGAAATTGAACCTGATATTTTGTTACAATTGTGATGTATTACGCAGAGCGAGGAAATATTATATGCGCTTGAAGGAGCACCAGAGTCAGACAGGAGAAGAGCTTCCACTGGGTCTTGTGGACCGCCTCAGTGCTCAGGTCCTTCCTCTTATTGAGAAGGAGTTGGAGCCTCAAGATAATACAATGGACCCGGATGCAAGTCTCCATGTTGAAGCTATTCTGCATGATTCCGGTGAGTTGTTATAACAAGTTTTGACTTTGCTGTCAAGGTTATTTCACACAATGTTTTAGACTTGGTGTAATCTTACTATTGTACACTACACAGTTTCTGTTTGTTATAGACACTTGTAAATGTACTGTTATGGAACAGCTTTTGTCAATCTCACTTCTAATCTGCGATTGAATTTAACCCTTAAATGGTGATCATAATCTGTGAAAATTAGCTGTAGGGACAGTGCCCATCATGTGTCTTAAGATTTTTGTTCATATGGGGTGAAGGAGAGAAGTCTTAACCAGCAGTCACGGGTTAAGGCCTCCTCATGAAATTCCTGTTAGAGTAACTTGTTCTGTGCAGTTTGTGAAATAGTTAAGGTAAAGTATTGCTTTTTGGTTTTGACAATCAGAGTTTGATTTTATTTTTAATGAAGCCATTTTTATAGCATATGAAGGTTGCATTAGAATGTTCAATTATCAGATGAAGTGGGGTGGGGGGCAAATCTTCATGTGGTCTTCATTGTATTATATTACTATGCAACTGTCAAGTGTCACAATGATGGCTGTTCACAAGTGTCTTTTATCCTTTTCCTTATTTAACCTCTTCCTTATCACACACTCCACAAAACTCATATTGTCATGCATGAATATACCATCTTTTTCTTATGGTAAGGAATTATTATTATTGTTTTTTCTAAACCATTTATTAGTAATGTAGGGTGGCTAGAACAAGACTAAACATGCACGCACACACGCACGCACACACTGTTGCTTTAATAATATTTTGTTAAAAAGATCCATTTCATTGATGTGTTTACACATTTCAATTTATATTTCAGATGCGAATGACAGCTCGTCCTCACTCATTAACAACACACACATAACTCTTCCTTGTCCGGAGGTGACACCAGTAATTATAGAGAGAGCTGAACTAGAAGGTTCAACAAGTAAAGTTGATCTTAGTCTTGTGAACCATAGTTTACCTGAGCATGATAGAACATCTTCTGTGAAGAGAAAAATGGTGCCCAGAAAAGGAAAAGCGTATGATGCGGCGCTAAAATTTAATGCTAAGCGTAACAAAAGACGCCTGGAACTTGATCAGGCTGTTCATGATGAACAACTTAAACTCATTGAGATTCAAAAGTGTTATTATGAAGAACATCATAAGCGGCAAATGCAAGTTCTTGAAGAGCAAAGAATTGCGGCGGACCGTCAACACCAGCGACAGCTGCAGGTCCTTGAGTCACAGAAGAACGCAGCCGACCTTGAAAGAAAATATTGGGAACTGAAACTTAAAGATTTAGAAAAGACTTGAGTATGGAGAAAAAAATTATTTATCTTCTAAGACCAAAATTTATTGTATGTTATATCTAGACATTATGTTTTATATGACAACAGTATTTTATCTAACTGACTCAATTTCTTTGAAGGAAAAATCGTTTTGTTACTGTGCTTTTTATATGAAGAAAACCTTAAATTAATATTTTGTACAAGCCTTCCCATGTTATACACCTGTGTGGTTCAAACACAACCTTGTTTACACACTGTACATTTTAACTGCCCTCCAGACACATATTGAATTACCTTAATGTAATCAAATAGTTCTTTATATATATACAGATTAGAAATAATTCCCTAATCTTTCCATTTTTCTTATAATTATCTAATATGGTAAATTTTATCCTGTTTATAGAAGTGTTGTTCTTTGGTAAGAATACATTGTTAAGTCATGTGAGCTGATGGTTAGTGTAGGGATCCCGAGCCTGTAGGGGACGTCCTCAGGAGGCGGTGACTTTCTCGCTCTGAATAAGGCCAGTCACTGTTACATGTCGTTTGGTGTCTCACATTGTTGGGGTGTGGAGGTCGTGGTCTCACCGTCGAGGTTATACAAAATCTACCACATTTTTTTTTGTGTTGTATGGAAATTGCTGTAGCTTATTTACATCTTTTATTTTTCTTGGGGTTTTTGGTCCTTAAACATTGACAATAGAAGCTCACTTGAGTAATGTACTGTCAGAAACTTCTACTTTAACCCTACACTTGTGTTCATGTTAAATCTATGCAGCACCTTAGCAAAGTTTTATAATGTGTCTCTTCAAATTTCACAAAATGGCAGTGTTGTTGTGTTGTAGGGTAGCAGGTGTAGGCTAGCAGGTGTAGGCTAGAAGTTGTAGGCTAGCAGGTGTAGACTAGCAGGTGTAGGGTAGCAGGTGTAGGGTAGCAGTTGTAGGCTAGCAGGTATAGGGTAGCACATATATCACTAATTCGAAGTTCTGGCTTTGATCACTTAAGTTGGAACCTTTGCCAAGCTTCTAGGTCCTTTAGCCTCTGCATACTCAATACCCAATGGATTATTGATAGTATACAGTACAGTGGAGTTGATGCACAAATTAAGATCAAAGAGAAAAAATGACAATGATGATTAGGAGAAGAAACTTAAGATGATGAAAATGGAGAAGAGAAACTGCAAGAGGAAATAAATGAAACATGATAGACATAATGAAGATGCCAAGAAGATTAATATTGATGATAATAGAAGGAGATTATTATTATGTATTGTAACATTCTAGATACAGATGGTAATAATGGAGACTTCAAAGGTTAAAGAAATTGAAGTCAAGTACAGTAAGTCCTTGATATGTGCGAAGACCATATTCCTACCAGGAATTTAATTAATGCAAGCAAAATTCAGCCTTATGCGAGATGTCATACTTTTTGATATGGAGTCCAACCCTGATGACCCTGCAGATGTCACTCCAACACAATCACCCACTATGTTAAGCCTCTACCACCACCTCCATCATCTCGTCTACCCAAGCTGATGTATCTGCTTTTATTGATAAGTACAATATTGTATTGATTTGTTTTATGGTTTGTTTGTCTTGAAATTGGGTCGAGAACATTTTTATTTTGGGTTTTGGAACGCATCCTGTATTTTCCCATCTAACTAAGTATTCAATATATGCATTTTCTGTTTATGTGAGGGCTTTCAGGAAGGCATCCTTTGCATATATTGATGACTTACTGTCTGGATATATGACATACTGTGGCTACCTCAATATATTATTATTTTCTCTCCTTTCTGTCTTGGGTAAACCTAACGCATGAATGAGGAATTATGGAAAAGCAATACCAAGTGTAAAAGACAAGGAGACTGACCTCCAGTATTGTTGTCCATCTTCCGTGTGTCCCTAATTTTTAGTACGTACTGTACAAGTTACAAGGGTGGTGACACACACAAGATGACTTGGCAGCAGCCTGTTAGAAACTATTAATTGGATTGTATTATATATAGTTTTAAACCCTTGATTGGTATGTTAGTGAGGCAGACAGCAGTGTCACTTGTTGAAAACATATTGATGTCTGTGACAAATTTTTGGGATTGGGTGAGTTTTTAAGTCCTTTTATCATATAAGAGGACCAAGACAGTGAGGCCAGGTAACCCTCCACCATACAATAGAATCTCTCACTTAGAACTGAAGGTGGTGAGTATTGTAATGTTTGAACACATCTCATCCACCCCATTTACTTAGGATTGGAGTGAGTTTGATAGAGATAGATTTAGTGGAATTGAATACATTTAGTATTAGTATTAACTTTATTATTTCTTGTTGTACTCTCCTAAGTCAAAATACTTACTGCCAGATAATAGTCTTATCTATAAGCTTTTCACTTCTTCTAGAACCAACTTAAGCCCAAGAGGAGCTACATTTTGTATATTAACCCTTAAATGGCAGCGATCATCTGTGGAAGTTAGCTATCAGGATGGTGGTTATCATCTGTGGAAGTTTCATGTTTCTTGTATTTCATTTTTGTGTTTATAGGGGAGAGGGGGTAGTTGGTGAGTCAATAGCTGCCAATTAAGGGTTAGTGCCGTAAAATATTCCTCTTGAATGGGCCTAAGTCCCACCTGCTAACCATGTCTGAACCATAACATGCATCTCTCTTATTTTATGTTGTGGTGTTTCATGAAGAATCTTAAACAGGTCAGGACAAAACTAGCCATTTACAGTTTCTCACTTGAACTGACGAGTACAACCTACCTACCAGACGTGGAATAGTTTTGTCCCGACCATCTTCAAGTTTCAGACAATATTATGGTGCTATAAAAGATTCTTAAGGTTTTGCATATATACAAATAGACATGGAATCAGGTGGGAGTTTTTATTTATTTCTTGTGTATGATAAGTTGGAGAGAAAATTGTTTATAATGGGTATTTTTGCTAAACATTCCATATATTGTCTTTACTGAGAGAAACTGGTGTATGAATGATTTAAAAAAAAAATCCTTCATTATTCAAAACAGGTACAGAAGATATCAGTCAGTATTATGATTCAGTTAACGGCCTTTACCCGTCTCTTGATGTCTCCTGAGCGACCCACTGAAGATAAAAGGCTTCATATGATCAGGTATCCAAAGTTGAAATGATACTGTTTTTGGAGCTTGTGTATGCATGTATGAGTGTATGTATGTATGTATGTGTGTGTGTGTATGTGTTTGTGTACAAAGGAGATATTTATAATGTGTTAATGGGCCCAAAATCAGTATTGTGCTGACATTGAACCTGATAAGACCCCTTCAGTAGGACTTATACAAAAATGTACAGTACTTTGCACACTCGAGAGGTTTATAATCCATCCAAAATTTTAAAATATCTTGTTGATTGGCCAGTGTAGTATGTGGTAATTTGGGCAACTCATCAATATGTTCCGAGATGTAGAATTTTAACATCTTAACCTAAAGGGAGTTTTGTTGTGCATCATACTTTAAGTGTTTCTTCAGAGCCACAGATAGCGAGAGTTTGGCCAACTAGACATCATGTTGTTACTCACTGTGTGGAAAGTCTTCTTGGGCAGAGGAGCTGCAGCTGTTGTTCTTGGACTGCCTCGCACACAACGATTGGATTTATAAGTAATATCACATTATTTAGAGAAACTTTTTTTAATGAGAGGGTTATTATATTATTACCAAATTGATAATTATAAATATACAATACTGTATATTATATACAAAGTAAATGCATATTAATCAGTAAGTCATGCCAGCAAAGTTTTATTAAACATAATTTTAAGTAGAATAAAGCTTAGAATAGAAAGTGGGTTATGTGAAGAGCAAAATTGATTTAGAAAGTGAAACGGAACTAGATAAGTTATATTTGGTTTTAGAAATTTGAGTGAAAGGGCTTTAGAGGTCCAAATAAATTTGAATATCAGCTTTGTTGATTTTGAAAAAGCTTGAGATTAGATAAAGCACAATAAACTTATAGAGATCTTGGAAAAGCTAGGCACAAAGATTGGAGATACTATAATTTTAAAGAATCTTTACTAATTTTGATATTGAAAAAGTATTTTTAGCCACGAAAATACTGATACAGAGTGGACATTAATAACAATATTGATATAGCTGAACCATTTGAGAGCCTGAGCTCTCTTACTGGCAACAAGAGGCTGCAGTGTTCGTAAATAATGAACAGTATCTGCACTGACTCTATGCTTGCTGAACTGTATAACTGCATAGTTTATAAACATACTTATCTTATTGTAAACATATATCACAATCTTACTGATTAAATAGTATCATCATCATCATCATCATCATCATCCTTTACAGTACGAACACAAACTTCATCATCTGAATAACAACACAGCACTCTTGTATCACGGGACCAGCTCAACCATTCAGGTTCATTCACCGGGTTGACTGAACTCTCGATCTACGGCACTGGGTTTTTTGTTGTACATCTTACCTTAAGGGGGGTTTGTTGTACATCCCAGAAATGTTGATAGGTGCCAGACCACACAAATAGTCTTTCTGGTTTAACTTATGAATGTTCCTTTCAGCCCAACAAGTACAATACCCGGTGTGGATCTAGTGGGGATGGTGAAAGAGGCCGCATTCCTCAGGTTTTTCCATTGTTTTTGTTTTGTATGTCATGAAAACTTTTTATATGTGACTTTTATGTAACTTCTTTTTGCAGAATTCAATAAATATATTGATTTAAATTGAATGTTTACTTATAGATTTTTCCTGTGATGTAGTTTCTGGAATAAGCATACCTTGGGATGAACACTGTTCAATCTGTTCATTATTTACAACTGATTAAAGTTACATAGAGTTGTGGATCATACAACACAGTCTTCTTACTCTCAAGTTATGTCTTGTATGGACACCAGAAAGAGCTTTAGTGTAAACTGTCTTTCTAGAAGCCATGATTAAAGAAAGTCTCTCTTGAGGATCACCTAAAGATTAAGCACCACATTTTATTTCATCCAAATTACTGTTGGAAGATGTATGTTTATAACTGTTTGAGGTCACGGTTGTGCACAAGAGCGAGTTGTTGATGATGAATATAGATTTGTTTGATTATACTGTATCACTCACCAGATGTTATAGTAGATGTCAACTTAACTCCTTCACTGTGGGAATGTCACTTTTAATGTTTAATTTGGCTAATGCTAGATGATTTTATTCAGCTCAGAGGTGGGATCTGTACATAGGGGGTTAAATGATATAGTTTGTATGTGTAGATGCTCTGACACTTGAGGGAGATGTGTGTTGGAATAGTTGTAATTGAAATGAAGATGAGGTTAGGTAAAGAAATATTTTATATAGAATATGGGTTAGAGGATCTGTTGGCACAGGGAGACATGCTGTGTGAAGGAAGGTTATTATAGGGTGTGGTGTCAAGATAAAGTTAATACTGTACTTGCCATTCTGGGTAGAGAAGTTGTACAGTACTAACAGGGTGATTCACTAATATGTCTCTTCTTTATGATACATCAGTGTTTTGTGTACTTAAACATTTTGATGGTATATTCTTAAGTGTGACTTTTATTTAGTGTGTCTTCATTATTGGTTATATTAGCCTAACTCAGGGGGCACCAATGAGTGAGTCTTCCTGTTGATAAGATATATTTTCTTTGTTGTTAACTGGATATATTATGAGTCAAGAGAGGTTGTACTTAATAATTTGTTCATCTTTAACCTGTCATGACAGAAGGGTTTAAGTACAGTCAATGTCTGCTTATACAGCCAGTTAATGTACACGTTTAAGGTGTGCATCATGTATGTTAAATCTTAAATGGCAGCTGTCATCAGTGGAAGTTAGGTGTAAGAATGGCAGCTGTCATCAGTGGAAGTTAGGTGTAAGAATGGCAGCTGTCATCAGTGGAAGTTAGGTGTAAGAATGGCAGCTGTCATCAGTGGAAGTTAGGTGTAAGAATGGCAGCTGTCATCAGTGGAAGTTAGGTGTAAGAATGGCAGCTGTCATCAGTGGAAGTTAGGTGTAAGGATGGCAGCTGTCATCAGGGGATGTTTCTGTTCCTTGCATTCCAATTTTGTGAATATGTGGGTGAAGCAGGAATACTTAGCTGCCATTTAAGGGATAAGCAGACATTAATGTTGTTGATTAATAATTAATTAACTTTATCTGATATATGTGTAATGTTTTACTTGTCCTGCAGAAAGGCTAAACGAGAACACGGTCTACCAATTTTAAATCTGGACTTGGAGATGAACTTTATGTGTAGTCACGGTAGATTGATGACGCGGCGTGAACGTTTACTGTGCAAGATGATGCGGGATTCTTCCGACACAACGGCCAGAATTCTTGACAGATTTCAGGTGAGTGTTCTTCCATGTGTACTGTACCAACTTTTTAAAATCTTTGTTGTAATGTAAGTTTTTTGTTCATTATTCTTCTCTAAACTCCTCTGTTACTATGATTTAACCTATAGGCCCCGGGTGACGTTCCAGAATGTCCGCCTATTCCCGCCACTGTTTAAATGCCCAGCACGGGTAATCAGGTTCCCAAGCGACTATTTGCCTGTCACGCCACACCCCGGCCACAGGGACGCTTCCTCAACATAATTACCTACTTGTGTTTGTTTCATTTTCATTATTTGTCTATTTTATCATGTTGTATCAAAGTAATATTGCTAAAAGTAGTGTAGTTGTATTGTAGTGTAGTATTACTGTAAAATAATGCTATAATTATGTTATAAATGTATTTATTTGTGGAATTATTACTATTTTTTGTATTTCTTGCTCTACCAAACACAAAGACAACCAGAGAGCTGGTGACAGACTGCTGTGTGTCGCCAAGCACTTTTTATGAAAATTAATGCAAATAAAATATTATAAATTAATTATTTATAGGAGATAAGTATTATGATCAGTAAATATATGAATTATTGGCCATCTTGGACACAAAGACAGGCTAAAAATGGCCCTCTTATCTCCTTCCCTCTTACGCGCGGTCAGAGGGAAGCTTCTTGGTAAATAACTACTTTTGTCTGTTTATTTTCATTGTTGGTACATTTTATCATGTTGTATCAAAGTAATATTACGTAAAAGTTGTTTAGTATTACTAGATAATAATGCTATGATTATGTTATATATGTATATACAAGTATTCTAATAATTATTTGTATGACCTACGTGCTCTCCCAGACATAAAGCCTGACGACTGATTGTGTGTGTCACTGAGAACTTCTTATGAAGAGTAATGCAAATAAAATAAAGTCTAAATTAATTGTTATAGGAAATAAGTATTATGATCAGTAAATAAATACATTATTGGCTAACTCGGACACAAAGGCAAGCAGGAAAATGACCCCTACGTGCGTAGAGACAGCGAGCGCTCGATGTAAAAAAAACTTTCCCCTTGTCTCGTCACTGAGGCGCCACGGAAGAATATAGAGGGACAATGTATAGTTTTTCTTAGGTCTTTTTTATTGTTTTATCTTTTATAAAGGTTAAAAATTATTTTTGGAAAAGTTGATTTTTCTCGTTTAACTCCGCATTCAGGGTATGGCCGGCGGCACCCTAACCCGGGGCGTAAGGGTTAACCCCTTCAGACTTAATCCCTTCAGTATGATGATTTAACCCCTCCCACACAGTAACTATATTGAAGTTATCTTTCTTTGTCTCTGATTGTCTGTCTCTTAACTTTGTGTGTGTGTGTGCGCGTGCGTGTATGCTTTTGTGTGCTGAGCTACAAAAGGAACTCATGATGAAACTGTATAGGTTAAAAATAAAACTTTTTAAATTTTTCTTTATTGGTACAGTACTGTATACATTGACTTGCTTGTTGCTGTAGCTTTATCCGTTTGTTTTTACTACTGTAATAAACGTTTAAAATTGGAAGGTGTCTATACTGTATCTCTGGTTATGGTGGCAGGTGTGTGACGGGGATCAACTTCAGAAGAAAGATGAGACCTCTAGCTTCTTGGTCAAGCTTATTGGAACGCCTTCAGGGATGCCATCATTCATTTACAGCCCCTATACGCGGAGGTCAGGTCACGGGTCACATTTATAGATGCATGTTGATGTAGATAGAGAGTTTAACATTAATAATTGACTTTAGGACCATCACTGAGCTAGATGGAAATCATAGCACTGTGTTGTAGAAGGGAAGGAACATCAATGCAGAACACTTTTGTTACACAAGGAAAATATAGTCTCAGCATATGAGGCGCTCCGCGTCAAAGGGGGTGAAGCGCCAAATTAAAAAAGCTGAGAAAAACGGGTTTAAAGTTTTCGAAGTTCAAACAACCATAACTTTTTTGTTTTTAAAGCTAAGGGTTAATTTTTTTTATCGTGCAGCTCAATTCCTCTCCAAGTGAACTGTGAAAATTTGCAGTTAGTACTGTGGATAGTTATTATTTTATCACAAGTTGAATGAGAATAACTCCCTGTGATGTACAGATGTTTGAGCCTCAAACCAACAATAATCACTTTTTTCTGCATAATTTTCTTATTATTGTGGGCTAATACTGTAAAACAAGTTAATGATCACCAAAACCAACACTCGTCTTAACCCCCCTATGAACCTCCCCCCCGTTTTGTTATCCCTGAAGACCGTAGCAACTTGAAGTTACGTAAATCCTGTGGAGTGCATATAACTTTAACGGCCTCGTCATAATCAATCAAGTACTGATCAAAGTCTTTTTCTGCCCTCTCTTAAAAATTGCCACACAAATTCTTCATCAACTAAATCATTGATTTTTTGTCGGCAACAGTTCAGTTTCATTATAAGACTGAGGTATGGGCTCACTTTCACTAGCATTCAGTGGGTCAGACTCACTTTCATCACTATCAAGGTCAATGCATGTCTCGTCACTGTCCACTTGTACCTTCTCACAGTCTATATGTTCTTGTTGTGATACATTAGTGTCACTGTTTGTGTTACCATTAGACTCACTATCATCATTTTCATCTTCACTTTCATCGTCATTATTGCCGTCGGTGCATGTCACGTAACTCTGTACCGGTTCACAGTCTGCAAAAAGGTCTTGTGATGCATAGCAGTCACTTTTTGTATTATGAGTATACTCAGTTTCATCTATTTTGAGCTCACTTTCACCGTCATTATCATCGTCAATGCGTGCCACATTGTCTTTTAACTCGTCATAGTCGGCAAAAAGATCTTTGGATGCTTTGTAGCACACTAAAAAGTTATTGTGTGCATTCAAAGTGTTATTGTCATTATGATAATCACTTTCATTGTTGACAGGTAAGTCATCATGGTCTCTGAAACGATCTTCCGATGGTTCATAACGTGATGTATGGTTTTTTTTTCTGCAATGACAGTGTTATTGTCATTAAGAGACTCACTTTCATCCTGTTGTGGCTCATTATCATTATCATAATCGTATTTTATATCTGTTTCATCACTGTCACATTGAGTTTGTACAAGCGGATGTCTCATAAACCTATGTTTTTTAAAGGGAATCTATGAAGCAGCATGTGCATCACTTTCCTGTACGTACTCACGTTTAAGGACAGTACTGTTAGTACTAGGTTGACTGCCAGACATTGCAATGGAAGGTACAGTAATATCAAAGAAAGTTATCTTTTGCAATTACACTCAAGGCATCACGACACACACAACCATACACCAACTTCACACACTGGTAGCACTGAGGGTGTTCCACGGGAGGGCGTGCTGAGTCAACAGCATGACTGTTTTCATTCAAAGTTCCTGTGTAGTAGCCTTGCA